GCCTCGAACTCACAGAGATCCACCCGTCTCTGCCTCCTGAGTGCTGGGATTAAAGGCGTGCGCCACTACCGCCCAGCTCTGGAACAAGCTTTTAGCACCCTCTTTTCTGATGTTTCCAATTCCCAGAAGCAGTTTATTTCCTGGAATGATGCCCAGGTCCCTTCCTGGGAGTCCTATCCTACCCCTGGTAGATTCTGGGATTCATGAATGAATGTCACTATGTCACTGTCCCCTGACAAAGGCTACCCCACCCACCCACCTACCACCCACCCCTGCCTCACTGGGTTGCACTCTGGAGACCCAGAGTCTCTCAGCAGTAGCCAGGAGGCCAGCAGTTGAGTGTCAGGTCCCTGGGGGTATTTCTCCTCCTGTCAAGAGTTGGACAGAAATAAAATGTAATAATTTTTTTTTAAGGGCCAAGGTGATGCTCGGCAGGTAAAAGCACTTGGTACCAAGCCTGGCCGCTTGAGTTCCACCCCCAGAGGGCACAGAGGAGTGGCAGAAGGAAAGAACCACCTGCTGCAGGTGGCCCTGCCTCCAATGCATGGATGCCGTGGCACGCATGCACCCACAGCACATACACTCTCCCAGCTCTCTCTCCATATACATGCACTCAGGGGGAAGGTGTCCTTGGGTGATTCTGAACATTCAGGAGCAGAAGCCACATTTTATTTTGAAGTATTTTTTATTACATTTTGTGTGTGCACACATGCACATGTGCCTGTGTGTGTGTGTGTGTGTGTAGTACACGAGTGCACATGCCATGGTGCACATGTGTGGAAGTCAGAGGACAATTTGCACGAGGTACTTCTCTCTTTCCACCATGTGGATTCCTGTGAGCAAACACGTCCCCAGGCTGGGTGACAGGTCCTTCATCGACTGAGCCCTCCTGCTAACCCATAAATCACCTACTAGACTCTGAAGGTTAGTTGCTTCCTCTAGGAAGCAGGCTCCATAATTAAACCTTCTTTGAAGGGCTGGCCTGAACCTTGGAGAAAATTTAGGCCTTAAGAAGCAGGAAGGAACTGTTTCCTGGTGTAAAGATATCCTTCTTTTGCGGGCACATACCTTTAATCCCAGTATTCAAGAGACAGAGGAAGGCGGATGTCTGAGTTTGAAGCCAGCCTCGTCTACAGATCGAGTTCCAGGACAGGCAGAGCTACACAGAGAAGCCCTTTCCAGTGTTGGCAAGGAAGCGCTGCCCTCTCTGGGGCACGGAGCCTTGGGAAAGATAGAGAAGCACTTGAGCCACAGAGGTACTTGGCCCATAGTCTGTACCCCGAAGTTGTTGGTGCCTCAGAATGGGGCTTCAGAGGAGACTAGAAGGATGAGCCCTAAAACTTCACATCCAGAAACTGAAGCCATATGTGTGCTTGGTTGCCTGGGGCACTAGGGAAGACAGATTTGACGTCCCAAGGCCGGTTTCAACTCTCAACAGTGACATCGTGTGGTCATGAGAAGCAGTGGCAGGCTGGATGACGGTTCTGCCCTGCTGGAAATCCTGCAGGTTAGGCTACCCATTGGAGAGGGAGCCGGCCACCAGGAGAAGGAGGGGCAATATCCGCTTCTCCTCCATCTGCCAGGACGGCATCTGGGTGAATGTGGAGAGTGTACCACCCTGTGAATTCCTTTAGTTAGCAATGCACAGATGACCGTGAGAGCCAGCAGACGGAAGAGGGCACAGTCCATGCCAGGCTTTGCGCAGCCAGGCCCTGGATGAATAAAGTATGTGTGTGTGTGGGGGTGAGGGCGGGAGGCAGACTACATGTCTGGGAGGCACAAATGGTAGGTCACTCATCTCACTAGGAAGGGTGGATGTCTGGATTCACATCCATACGACCCCAGGTTATCAGATAACCCCAGGTCAGTCTTTGTCTACAAAAGACCAGGAGAAACAGGGGGGACCTCACCCTGCTCCCCAGCACATGGTCTCTGGGACTCAGCTCCTGCTGTCTCAGGGGCACTGGCACCCATCTCGCCTGCCTCCCAAGGTTACTGCGGGGCCTGAATGATGAATGCTCTGCATTGCAAAGTCCAGCCAAATGCCAAGAGGCGGGGAGGGAGGACACACGGGGAATCTGTCCTGACCCTGCCCCCGGCTGTGGATGGGAGCTGGTTGTACCTGTGGAGACGGAAGCTGGTCTCCACTACTCTGTCAGGAAAAGTAGAAGTCCCATTACGACTGTTATTAGTTTCAAACTGCCACAACTTGCCTGCAAGAATTCTTAGAGTTGATCTCTCTGCCACTGTATCGCTTCCTCCGAAACAGTCTTGACTGCCCCCCCCCCCACCAAATAAGAATTCAAGTTAGGCCGACACATGATGACTATTCCAGACTCCTATGCAAACCGTGTGCGTTAAGTCACTGGACACAGTTATACCAACACAGCACACACGTCCAGTCTGCAAACCAAGAGAGTTTTATATGATTCAAAGCAAAGGTTACATGACACAATACTCATTTAAATAAGTCAAAGTCTGTTACATAAAACATAAGTATTCAAAACATTTAAATTTTTATGACTAAAACTACCAAAAGGCTCAACAAAGTAAAAAAAAAAAAATAATCAAATCAAGCAGAATTGCTCAAGCAATAAAGTGCACTGGGGGTACTGCCTCACCACGGGGGGTCAGGGGGGCCCCCAAGGGAGCAGCCCACCCCCCAGGGGCTCTGGGGCTCAGGAGTCCTTTTCAGATAGGAAATGTTTTCCAACATAGTCTTTCAGTGGACAAATGGTGGGGGTCTTCCACAGACGGGGCTTCTAAATCTACTCAGGAAATGGAACCCTAAAGGGGTTTCAACACGTCGGTTACTCTAGAAACAACACTGGTCAGAGGATGAAGTCCTAGGGATGAGCAACCGAGCACTCCAAGACCTTCTGTGACCCACAGGAACACCAGGACAGCGACCATCACTCTGCATGTCACAATGGAGAAAGACACTCACACTGGATGTCATTTACCCTCTGCACAATTGACAGTGTGCAGGACAGGAACCGGGTACCACCGGGACGCTCGTGAGCTATGTACAGCTAGTCTCCTGCGGCTACTTTATGTTAAAAGACAACGGAGACGATTACCTGGAGAGTTGTACCAACACTTCCTAAACACACATACATACAAAGCTCGGAGGCTACCAGAGGCAGCTTAACAGGGATCAAGTACCCTAACAATGTATGACCACGTGAAGGCTCTATAAGCCTCGAGGACCCGAACACAAAACCTCATTTTATCTTACTATTTCATAGTTCAACCTTGCCATCATTTAAATAAAGTTAAATGCCAGTATTAAAAGGCAAATGCAAAATCTAATACAGTAACACACAAAAAGATTCTCAGGCTGCCCAGACAGTGCAATATATTGTTCTCACTGTACTGCCTCCACTTCCCAACATCTAACTAGAGCCAGTTTTTGTGGTCACTGGGACGCACAGGAGGCCACTATATGCAGAGCACATGCTCACAAGGCATCAAAGCAGCGCCTGTGATCTGTTTTCAAGTTAGCTACAAAATCCCCATTCCAAGTCTTGTTTGAGCAAAATAATGCCCTTCATACACAATGAACGGAAGGGCAGCTGAGTGGCATCCACGGAGTGCCTCAGTGTTTTGTCCATAATTAAGGAAGGCATCTGAACCCCAGGGCCCACGGTGCATGTATGCCTCGCTTTGCATAGGGTGCACTTTGATGGGAAGTTTATCAACCAATATAGACATGTGCTCTTCTCTCCGTGGCCACAGAACCCATCATGCGGTACAAGACCACACCAGAAGCCAACAGACCATCTACAAAGCTTTGGTGTCCGAACTCCCGATTTTTGGTGCTTAAATACAGACAGGCCATGGGATCCTTGGCTCTCGGCAGACGAGTGGCCCCAAAGTCAACACAGTGTACACTGGCCCCTGCTC